TGATGGAATAGTGATAATGGTGGTGGTGGTGGTGATGTTAGTAATAATGGTGGTGGTGGTGGTAGTGGTGGTAGGCAGCGAGGGCCACTAAGTGAACACTCTCTGAGCCTGGCACTGTGCTAAGTGCTTTATAAACATTGTCTCTGGTAACGCCCCCAACAAGCTTTGAGGTGATTCACATGATCACCCTGAATTTTCCAAAGAGGAGAAGAGGCATCAAGGCCTGGGCCCCAGCAGCGACTGTGAGCTGGGACTGGGATGGAGGTGCTCAGAATCAGCGCCCTTCGCCAGCCTCACACATCACAGTACCTGCCAGAGCTGGGAGCTGGTGCCCAAGCTGACTGGTTGCCAGGTAGGTGAGGGTGGTGATGAAGGCAGTATGGGATTACCCAATAGGCTAGGTAAGCATGGTTGACTTGTGCTTACTTACTACTCAGTAGTGAATATTTCCATGTGGTTTTGCACCCCATCTTTGTGAAACTGTTCCCTACAGACCAGTAAGCAAGCACAAGGTAGCCTGTGCTTACCTGTCTTCCTGTGCACTTGCCTGAGATCAGGGATGAGATTGAGTTCACAGACTCCTGCCCTCCCCTCCCCCCACCTGCCCACAGTCCCACCCCTGCTAGAGCAGAGCCCTCCCCACAAGAAGTGACTGAGTGGGCCCCTCCCTCCCAGGGATGGCCAGGAACCCCGGGAGCTGCTCACGTGGAAAATCTGGTTGGAGATCTTGGCCGAGGTGCGGAAGTCCCAGGCGATGATGGTGCGGTCAGCTGAGTCCCGGCTGGACGCGTCGGTGCTGCTCAGAAACTCAGTGCCACCCCTGAGGAAGAGGATGTCCAGGGTCTGCTGCACCGTCGCCGTGAAGCGTCTCACCACCTGCAAGAGCGGCCCAGGCCTGAGGGCGCCTGGCGCCCAGCCCCTGCCCCCAGCAGACACCTGGCCTCTTGGGCGCCTGTCCCAGACACGCACCCTCAACCCCAGCCCTGCCTGACCACCCACCCCCCTCGGGCCCCGCCCTGGCCCCCTGCAGCACGATGAGCTCGATTTAGAGGTGACTCCTGCAGTCCCAGGAAGGATGGCACTTAGGGAGACCCACGCCCTGCCCAGAGGGGGCCAGCACATGACACCCAGAAGTCCAGGGCCCCAGCCTGCTGTCCCCAGAAGGATACGTGTCACGGAGGGAGCATGGGTCCTTGGAGACAGGAGGACCTAAGTGCCCGGAGGCGGGCTTCAGCTTGGAGACCCCTTTTCCATTCCTTAGCCTCGTCACCCACGTTCCACTGTCTTGTAAACTAACGGTGTCAAGGACTGAGCAGGCGTCCTTCTCTGGGGTGTTTGAGCGCATTCCATGCCTGTTCCGTAATCACTGATCTGGGAGAGCGGCTTCAGGACCGGGACAACAAGTATGGGTGCGCCCTGAATTACAGCAGTGAAAATAACAGGCCAGAGCAGGAAGGGCTGGCCACTGCTGGTCAGTTTACCAGTGGCTGGGGCGCCACCATGTGGTGGCAGCACAAACAGGTGCCCAGTTCCTCCGCCTGCCCGCTGGGAAAGGGCCGGAGTCTTGGCAAATGGAGAGGGGGAAAAAATGCACCCCTGGAGTTGGCACCCTCTCCCGGTCTGGGGCGAAGCGAGCCTGGCATTCCCTGGCACCTTCTGTTGGATGTGCCTGAGGACCTCAGGTAGGGCCTTGAGACTCCGTTTGAGATAGGTGTTCTCAGACCCATTCGCCGGGTGAGGGAGACTGAGGCTCGGGGCCAGGGCAGGGGTGGGTGGGGGGTGTAGCCCGTGGGGCCCGTGGGGCATGGCTGAATTCCGCCCCCTGGCTGCTTCCCTGGGCCCACACCCTGCAGGTCCACGGCCTGCTCCATCTTCCTGGGTCACAGGTGGGCCACAGCACACAGGCCATGGGCAGGGGTGGGCTGAGCAGAAAGTTTGTCCCCTCCTCCATACGGGGGCAGGTGCTAGGGACAAGGAAAGGAAAGGGCAGACCGGCCACCCTTGCCCTTGCCATCTGTGCTGGGCACCAGAGCTCACACAACCTGCCCCTCATCCCTAAGGCAGTAGAGGGGACAGGAAGCGGGCCTAGGGGCGAGGGGGCAGGCAAAAGGGGATGGGAGGGGCAATGCCCATCACAGCCTGGCGTAACTTCTCCAAATCCACCATCTGGACTCCCAGCACCAAGACCACGCCCGTCGCAAACACCATCCGCTTCTCGCCAGGTCCTCTCCGACACAGTGCCGGGGAGGGACACAGTCCAGATGCCAAGAGAGGGCACTACACGTGCCCCAGGGGGCGGCCTGTGCCTCCTCGCTGGAAAGGGTGTGAATAACATCTTGCAAAACAGCATACCCATTCAACCCAGCGAGAGGTACAACCCAGCAAGCCCAACTCCAGAAATAAAGCTAAATGTCAAGAAGATATAGGAGGTATTGGAGGCAAACAAACAAAACCCCCACTGCCTTTAAGTCGACGCCAACTCCTGGCGACCCCGAGGGGCCGGGTGGAAGTGCCCCTGTGGGTTTCCGAGACAGTCACGCCGGACGGTAGTAGGAAGCCCGGCCTTTCCCCTGAGTGATTACGAACTGCAGACTTTGAGGTTTGCAGCCCACCAAGTAACCACTAGCCCTGTACTGACAGCTTCACTGTCCATAAAGATAAACAGCTGGGAATCGATCACTAGACTTTGGTTCATCTACCCTCGGATGACTACCCAACTGTTACCAAAAAAAAAAAGGCAGAACGTGCGGAATCTCTCCATCCTGCAGGGCGTGCGCTCCAGGGTCCACGAGGGTGAGTAAGCCCAGAAGCAGTGCCCCGAGAGTTCAACGCACTGCCGTCAAGTCGGTGCCAGCTCCTAGCGACCCTGTGGGACAAGGCAGGACTGCCTCTGTGAGGTTCCAAGACTGGAACTGTTTGTGGGCGGAGGAAACCCCCTAGGTCCCCCAAGGCAGGCCTGGTGGTTTTGAAATGCTGACCTTAAGGAGGGCATGGGTTCATTCCGCCCAGATGGTGTTTAACCCTGGCTCTGCGGTCAGTGGATTGCTGCTGGCAAGTTCTCTCCATCATGTGTTTGTCTTCCAATAGGGCTCCCCATCAGGACCGTGGCTGGGGCGGGGGGCAGGGGGTGGGGGGTACTGCTCAGAGGATGATGGTGTTATTCAGGGGTACGGGGATTTGATTTCTCAAAGGATGCAGGATGATCAGGGGGCTTGTTTATGAAGATGTTCTCGGGCCACTGGAAGCTGTATTCCTGAGGAAACAGCCGGGAGTTGTGGTGAGAAGTTTCTTGCCCGTGGCCGACAACAAGCTGGCTCATTCTTTGAAGGTGGCGAGGTCGTCCTACGAGAAAATCGTCGGGAAAACGAACTGCCCCCAGCACCACCACCCACAGCCCCGATCGTGCCCCTCCAGACTGTTTGTTCTCCAGACTCAAGACTATTTGAGAGCGCGCCCCGCGAGCCCCTGGAGGGCACCAAGCCTGTTGGAGCGGGGTTCACTGAAGCCCACGGGCTCCCTCGGGGAGGGTTCGAGGGGCTGCTGCACTGCTTTAGAAGGGCGCACGGAGGGGGGCGGCCCTGTGGACAAGACTCGCTTCCCATTTTTGATGCTTTTCTTTAATAGGGGCTTTTTTATTACGTTTTATGGCAATGCCTTTTTCTTTATTATGTGGTGAAAGAGGGAGGGGGTGGGGAAATGGCGGGTTGTATGCCACTGTTTGCAGACACAGAAAGGAGATGGTATCAATATATGCAGCATGTGTGTGTGCACTTAAGTTGTTGGTTTGTCATATATGTGTATGTGCGTGGATATACATGCATATATGAATACACTGAAACCAGGTGTTTGGTTGATCGTATGTACGCATGTGAATAGACAACGAGATGGTCTAGAGAGCAGTGTTTCCCAAAGGGTGATCTCACCCCTGGGGCACTGGGATGATTCCCAGCGGGCGGCAAAACCAGGCGCACTCTGTGCGGGATTGTGGGCGATAGTACGCACGGTTTTCACTGGGAGGGGGTGGCGGCCGCTGAGTTCGCGTTTTCCTTTTTTCTGAAAAGGGGCGCGGTGGCCAGAGCCGTTGGGAGCCTACGTTATAGAGGCGGGGAAGGAAAGAATGTGGGGAAACTACACAACTTACGGGAGGTGGGAGGAGCACATCTTCGGGACCATGGGTGAGGCGGAGCTGCCTTAGAGAGACGCCAGAAGCATGAGCCGTGAAGGGAGGCTGGAAAACTGGACTTTATCAAAGTTAACAAAGTGCAAACGTCAGCTCTTCTCGGTGCTCGGTTAACCCATCCGCTGGGGAAACAGGTGCACAGCACACCGGTGTGATGTCGTGCAGCCAAAATACATAAACCCAAAAGAAAAAACTCACTCCCACCGACGCTACAGCAAGTTCTTCAGACAGGACAAGAGACTGGAACTCAGATCTGAAGGAAGGGACAAAACGCAAGCTGAGACGAGGACTGAAGGAAAAAACTACATCTGTAATATTTCGAGTTTGTGTAAATATATGAGTAAAGCGCTTGAGTATCGCCGCAGCCGTGTTGACGGGTCTCCAACGTTCAAGGGCATCACATCCATGCCAACATCAACAGTACGGACCAGGTGAGCGCGTGGCAATCAACGGCGTCACCTGGGGTAATTCAGTACCAACTCTAAATAGATTGGGGTCCCTAAGGACGCACGCTATCATCCCAGATCACCTCTGAAAAGGCAATGCAAGAATTAAGAGGCACTGAGTCTATGTGGCGAAGTAATTTCAAAGGAGAGCAATAATGATGGTGCAGCGCTGTGCACTAAAAGTGTAATCGATTTAATTATACATGTAGAAATTGTTGGATTGGCAAACGTTGGCTTTCCCTTTATGTTTTAATGTTAAACTATTCTATTGTCAATTAGGTGGTGGGGGGGTTACATTTCACGTCATCGATTTTGCATTCAGCAATGTAAACTACTTATCAAACTTTCCAATGGCTTGCCCTGCCGCGCCCCACCCCCACGCCTTGATTTCTCGTCTCCATCTTCTGGAATACTATCTTCCCCTTCACCCCGGTGAACGCCTGACTCCCTTCTAGCCTTAGGTCTCCCTTCCTCTCCCCTTCACCCCCGACCCCCAGCATCCCCTGGAAACCATCAGAGTGTGGTTCTTTGGGTCTGAAAACCTTTGTCTTGACTTTTCCTTCCTAACCGCCATCTCGTACAATATCGGTCCTTCTGTGCTCGACTCATTTCACTGGGCACGATGCTCTCCAGGCAGGAGGGGCGGTTTTGACGACCACGGCTGTGAAGTAAGCGTTAAAAGTGGGACGTGGTGGGTGCCCCGCCTGGCTCTTCTTATCCAGTAGTGCTTTGCTTAGCCTGGGTCTCTTTCCTTTCCAAATAAAGTTGGTGGTTAGCTTTTTTCCATCTCCTGAAGAATCATGCTGGGATCTGGATTGGGGCTGCATTGCATTTAGAGGTGCTTTGGGTGGTATTCACACGGTCATACCGTGAAGTCTCCCTGTCCGTCAGCAGTCTGTGTGTGCTTCCATGTTTGTAGGTCTGCTCTGTTCTTGTAATGATGTTTTGTAATTTTCTTTGTATAAGTCTTCCGTCTCTTTGGTTAGGTTGATTCCTAAATATTTTATCTCTTGAGTGGCTATTGTCAATAGCATTGCTTTCTTGTTTTCCTTTTCAGGGCTCTCTCTGTTAGTATAAAGAAATCCCATTAATTTCTGTCTGTTGATCTCATACCCTGCCTTGTGTACTAAAATTTTCAGTTAGTTTCAACAATGTTCTTGTTGAGTGTTGGGGGGTTTTCTATTATAGAAGCATATCATCTGCAAACAGAGAGAGTTTTACTTCTTCATTGTTTTTGCTGGTGAGTGTTA